ATATACTCTTCCCTCCTTGCATCACTTCTACTTTGTAAAAACTTCTCATATGCTAACTTTTTCTCCCTTACTACTCTCTTTACATCATCATTCCACCAATCGCTCCTCTTCCCTCCCGCACCCACTTTCCTGTAACCACAAACTTCTGCTGAACACTCTAACACTACATTTTTAAACCTACCCCATACCTCTTCGACCCCATTGCCTATGCTCTCATTAGCCCATCTTTCCTCCAATAGGTGTTTATATCTTACCCTAACTGCCTCCTCTTTTAGTGTATAAACCTTCACCTCTCTCTTCCCTGATGCTTCTATTCTTCTTGTATCCCATCTACCTTTTACTCTCAGTGTAGCTACAACTAGAAAGTGATCTGATATATCTGTGGCCCCTCTATAAACATGTACATCCTGAAGTCTACTCAACAGTCTTTTATCTACCAATACATAATCCAACAAACTACTGTCATTTCGCCCTACATCATATCTTGTATACTTATTTATCCTCTTTTTCTTAAAATATGTATTACCTATAACTAAACCCCTTTCTATACAAAGTTCAATCAAAGGGCTCCCATTATCATTTACATCTGGTACCCCAAACTTACCTACCACACCCTCTCTAAAAGTTTCTCTACTTTAGCATTCAGGTCCCCTACCACAATTACTCTCTCACTTGGTTCAAAGGCTCCTATACATTCACTTAACATCTCCCAAAATCTCTCTCTCTCCTCTGCATTCCTCTCTTCTCCAGGTGCATACACGCTTATTATGACCCACTTCTCGCATCCAACCTTTACTTTAATCCACATAATTCTTGAATTTACACATTCATATTCTCTTTTCTCCTTCCATAACTGATCATTCAACATTACTGCTACCCCTTCCTTTGCTCTAACTCTCTCAGATACTCCAGATTTAATCCCATTTATTTCCCCCCACCGAAACTCCCCTACCCCCTTCAGCTTTGTTTCGCTTAGGGCCAAGACATCCAACTTCTTTTCATTCATAACGTCAGCAATCATCTGTTTCTTGTCATCCGCACTACATCCACGCACATTTAAGCATCCCAGTTTTATAAAGTTTTTCTTCTTCTCTTTTTTAGTAAATGTCTACAGGAGAAGGGGTTACTAGCCCATTGCTCCCGGCATTTTAGTCGCCTCATACGACACGCATGGCTTATGGAGGAAAGATTCTTTTCCACTTCCCCATGGACAATAGAAGAAATAAAAAGGAACAAGAGCTATTTAGAAAAAGGAGAAAAACCTAGATGTATGTATTTATATATGCATGTGCGTGTCTGTGAAGTGTGACCAAAGTGCAAGTAGGAATAGCAAGATATCCCTGTTATCTAGCATGTTTATGAGACAGAAAAAGAAACCAGCAATCCTACCATCATGCAAAACAGTTACAGGTTTCTGTTTCACAGTCATCTGGCAGGACGGTAGTACTTCCCTGGGTGGTTGCTGTCTACCAACCTACTGAAATTGTACTATGTCACTTCTCGGGCAGCAACGAAAATATTCTAGATTAGATTTTGCCACCGAAGTGGCTAGTTTATTGTGCACCCCATATCCATCATGTGGACGGTAGCGCGAGAGCATGTGGATACACAAAAGGCCTAGGAACTAGGCCCCAAAGGGTTAACAGAAATACATATGGATTTATATCTACAGATCTATAGTTCACTTATCTGTTACAAGCAAATTTAGGAAATTTGCTTAGTATATCTGGTATCTTATTTTCATTAATAAGATATCTTGACATGTCACATAGGTTATTATACTGTCTGTCTCTGTATTCCTCAATAAGTGGACAATTAAGCACATAGTGTTCAAGAGAGTGACCATAAGCCTGATCACATAATTTACATTTAGTTTGATCATCATCTGTGTGTCTCCCAAACTGCCAGAAGTACTTGTAACCAAACCTAAGCCTGGCCACTACAACATCAGTCAGTCTGTTCACATACTTATCTACGTTCATGTTATCATAGTGGGTTATAGATCTACTCAGGCTTCTAACTGTATTCCTATAACAATCATCTTCATTATTTACTTCTCTCCTAATATTATTCCTAATGCTAGACACAGTTATACCAAAGTTATATTCTACGTTCTCCTTCTGGATACTCTTCTTGGCTAACATATCAACTTTATCATGAAGGAGTAATCCAATGTTTGATGGGATCCATAGCAATTGTACATTAATTCCTTTGTCCCTAATTTTTGAGTATCTATACCTGGCTTCCCCAATGAGCATGTTGTTGGAGTCATTATATGAGCCAAGAGCCTTCAATGATGACATAGAATCAGTAATGATGATAGAGTCAAGCTCAGTGTCATAGGTTAGCTTTAGCGCCATTAGGATTGCAAACAATTCAGTTTGCAGTGTAGATGCCCAGTTGTTAATTCTTATGCCTAACTCAACAAATTTATTATCGTTCTTAACTAGGGAGGTGGCAACAAGAGCAGATGCAGCCCTGCCAGAAGACTCCTGTTTAGATCCATCAGTGTATATAACTTGTGATAACTTATTACTACCAGCTAGGCAAAAAATTTCTTCTTGAGCAGTTGCTCTAACAGAGATTTAAGGAAGGGATTACTAGCAATGAGCTTCTTGGGAGGGACTTGTAGGTATGTGATATTAAATGAACACATCTTCCATGGAGGGGTGAAATGCTCTTGTTGCCTACAGTGATACAGTTCATGCAGGTATAAAACTTAATGCAATGCACGTTTTCACAATCCATTTAGATCTGTGTGTATTTGCCTCTAGACACTTGGTAAGATTCACTGTGACAGTGTCTGGTTCGTTTCTCAACATTCTAATACCGAGTACAGTGTTAATTTCAACAATCCTATCACTGATACTAGAAATACCAAGCTCCTTCCTCATGTTAAGAACTTTTTAGATCTGGGACAGCCAAGAATAGTCCTGAGAGCTTCATTTTGCATTAACTCCAAGGGTCGGAGGGAACTTTCTCTAGCTAATATCAACATGGGAGCAGCATAATCAATTAAGGACTTAACATAGGCTATGTACATCATTCTCACGATTCTCACATTAGCACCATAGTTGGGATTGTAGCCAGCAACAGCTTTGAGAGCATTTAGCCTAGCTTTACATTTCTTGTTTAGTTGTGGTATAGTGGATTTGTTAAAGGGTACATCTACACCAAGATATCTGTAAGTTTTAACATAGCTAATGATTTCACCCTGCAAATAGATGGGTGGGGGATGTCGTTTGCTTGTTAATATCTTTGTTTTAGAGGAAGATATTATGAGGCCTAGTCGATTACAAATTGCTTGAACTTCATTAAGAATGGTATTCGTGCTTCCTTTGTTGCACTTTTTTCAACTGCATGCTACACTCACATTATGCTTCACACGGACTTTATGTATATATCAAAATATGCCTAAACTATTCATGTGCACACTAAACACAACAATCAGTACTTACCGACATTGTAGAGGGTAAAATCCAAGAGTATATTAGTGACACTGGATGAAAAAAACACACTCGGGGCAATGCCAAGCCACAACTGTTTATGTTTTGTTCTCTCAACCAATGGAAGGCGACAAATGCCATCACCACTTAGCTGAAGCGACTCAGGGAAAGCTTGTGATTGGTTAGAATTAAAGAACGAGAATCCAGATGTGCGGCACGTGTAGGATGACCTGAGCAAACTTGCACATGTTTAAGCTAGAAAGTTTTCGAGGCTGCGTGACAAAGGGTTAACTCACTCCAAATTTTTTTCTTATTTTCATTAAAATTCCTTGACAGTATCTCTCCCACTCTATCATCTGCTTTCCTTTTACACTCTCTTCACCTTTCTTTTACTCTTTATATACTCTACTCTTCTTATAACACTTCTGCTTTGTAAATACCTCTCATAAGCTACCTTTTTCTCTTTTATCACACCCTTTACTTCATTCTGCCAATCACTCCTTTTTCCTCCTGCACCCACCCTCCTATAACCACAAACTTCTGCTCCACATTCCAATACTGTATTTTTAAAACTATTCCAACCCTCTTCAACCCCCCCACTACTCATACCTGCACCAGTCCACCTTTCTGCCAATAGTTGCTTATATTTCACCCTAACTTCCTCCTCCCTTAGTTTATACACTTTCACCTCCCTCTTACTTGTTGTTGCCACCTTCCTCTTAACCCATCTACCTCTTACTCTAACTGTAGCTACAACTAGATAATGATCTGATATATCAGTTGCCCCTCTGTTATAATTATTATAATTATTATTATTATTATTATTATTAGTAGTAGTAGTAGTAGTAGTAGTAGTAGTAGTAGTAGTAATTGAGGGAACTGAAGCTTGCTTGTCATTATTATTATTATTATTATTATTATTATTATTATTATTATTATAATAATTATTAGTAGTACAGTATTGTTATTAATTTAGGGAACTGGAGTATAGATCCAATTCCCTAGATCAAGAGCCCCTCACCAATGTCAAGGAACCTTGATGCTGGTAAGGGCTCTTGATCTAGGGAATTTGATCTGTGCTCCAGTTCCCTACATTAATAATAATAATAATAATAATAATGAAGAGCTTCAGAATGCTTACATTTTTTTACAGTCATTTGGCCAAATTTCTTTTTTCTAACCTTGGGACCTAAGAAAGTAAGTGCAAAGGACAGTGCTGAGAAGAAAAAGAGGATGATTTCCATGGAATTTAAGCATGAAAATATAGATAAACAAGAGAGGTGTGCAGGTTGAGGGGAAAGTAGGGGAAGCTCACTCATAACTCGGATGTTGGCTCGTAACTCAGAGCAAAAAAATCGACCAAGCAACGGCTCATATCTCGAGAAACTCATATGTTGGGACACTCAAGAGTCGAGGTTCCACTGTATATTGATAAGTTGGATATTGTCTAGCTCCCATTCAAAACTACCGTCTTACAGTTGTAGTAATTGTTCATTCATACTTCATTAGCAAATATAAGTAATATTTTATTAAAGTATTTTAACTGCTTTACAGGGCTGTGGTTATGGCTGTCAGATTCATCATGTTGTGTATTGTTTTATTGTGGCATATGGCACAAAGCGAACACTCATTCTAAAGTCACGTGGATGGCGCTACAATAAAGCAGGCTGGGAAGATGTCTTTCAGCCTTTAAGTGAAACCTGTACTGATCCTTCAGGATATACTCACTCACACTGGCCAGGTAAGGTATTCTCTTCTTAGGTATCACTCACAAAATTAGGTTAATAAAATTCTTCTAAGTTTATTTTTCTTATTAGTCAGTCATTGCTAATGGAATTAAATTAATGGATACTATTCAAAATTATCATTTCACTAAATTTAATTAAATGAATATGCATTATCTGTGTCACCTAGCATGATGTAAAATACAATAATGTTCAATGGATAATGGACAACTAATGGTCTGAAATATCTCTGCCTGAGTTGCTGAAAGGGCTGTTCAGCATAGACATTGTAAAAATAATAATGTTTCAAAGCAAATCTAGTGCCCCTTCCAGTCAGATAGCCACCCCTAAGCCTTCCCAGTATGGAAATTCTGTTGCCACTCCTGCTGTCCAGCAAGTACAGTGTAAAATAATTTGAAAATTGGGCAGCTGTTCAGAGGTTTGTAATAACCATCATGTTTGTTATATTAATAGCCGGCAGCCCAGAAAAATCCTTTGTTCAGGAGGCCCTCCACATTCGCAAGGGTTAGGGGATCAAGAACCTCGCGAATGTTTGGTGCGCAAATATGATGTAGGAAAATATTATAATATTCTACTGTAGTGTTTGCGAATGTTTTCATGGGCAAATATATTGTAGGGAAATACAATAATAGCATTTACTTAGCCTAACAATACTGCTTCCTTAACCTATTGAACCACAAACAATCATAAAACACAACACATGAAATCCAGGCGGCTGGGCATTCGCGAATGTTCGATGCTCGCAAAAATGGAACTTGCGAATGTGGAGGGCCTCCTGTATAATATGTAATTTTTTATTTTTGCCCATTTTCCTGAGGACAGGTAAGGCCTCTCTACACCCCCTGGTCTGCTTTATGGGATTTTAACCCTTTCACTGTCGGGCCCGATAATATTACGGCTTGCAAGTCAGTGTCGGTTCCGTAATAGTACGCCAAAATTCTAGCAGCTTCAAATCTTGCGGGAGAAAGCTGGTAGGCCTACATATGAGAGAATGGGTCTAAGTGGTCAGTGTACGAAGTATAAAAGAAATCCTGCAGCACGCAGTGCATAATGAGGAAAAAAAAAACTGACCGTGTTTACCATATAAAACAGTGACTTTGCGGTGTATTTTTGTATGGTATTTATGATTGTATTCTCGTTAGCTTGGTTTCATATGATCAAATGGAAGATATATTACAGAACTAGAGATGATTTTGAATGGTTTATGGACTAAAAGTACCTTGAAATTGAGCTCAAAGTAGCAGAAATGTTCAATTTTTGCCCATGTTCAAGAGTAAACAGATGATGTCATGCGTCCAATACACATCAACTGGTGAGATCTGATATGCTTTCACACATGCACTGATATTATTTATACCATGTATATAATAATCCTAGGTAGTAGGTTGGTAGACAGCAACCCCCAGGGAGGTACTACCGTTCTGCCAAGTGAGTGTAAAACGAAAGCCTGTAATTGTTTTACATGATGGTAGGATTGCTGGTGTCCTTTTTTCTGTCTCATGAACATGCAAGATTTCAGGTACGTCTTGCTACTTCTGCTTACACTTAGGTCACACTACACATACATGTACAAGCGTATAATATATACATACCCCTCTGGGTTTTCTTCTATTTTCTTTCTAGTTCTTGTTCTTGTTTATTTCCTCTTATCTCCATGGGGAAGTGGAACAGAATTCTTCCTCCGTACGCCATGCGTATTGTAAGAGGCAACTAAAATGCCGGGAGCAAGGGGCTAGTAACCCCTTCTCCTGTATATATTACTAAATGTAAAAGGAGAAACTTTCGTTTTTCCTTTTGGGCCACCCCGCCTTGGTGGGATATGGCCGATGTGTTGAAAGAAAGTATATAATAATGCAGTAGTCTGCATAACAGTAAATCTACTTTTTGTGTGAATAAAAATTCAAAATGGAAAGCAGGAGTAATGTAAGAGGGACCTGGAGATGTGACTAATGAAGAGAGAAAATGTTATTTTAGTGTTAGGAATGTCTGCATTGTTAATTCTGGACCCTATTTTGAAATTGACTTTCCTTGAATTGTGCATGAAATTGGCCAAATGACCAATTTCTGATCACTTTATTGGGTAGTTGAAATTGGTAAATTGGCAGTTTCTTGCACTCAGTCGATAAGATAAAGGTTTATTTCTTCGTAAAGGCTACAGTGTGTAATTACAATTTTGGTTTGCTACAAAGAAAGCCATAATTATGCCAGGGCATTTCGAGCAGACAAAAGGAGTTCTAGTAAAATAGCTGTGAGTTTGGTTGACTGGAACAGTGGAAATGGCCAAAAATAGGGGTCAAAGTGGGCAGAATTGCCAGTGTGCAAATATCACCGAGACTGCTAACTTCATGAGAGCGTAATTCAATAAGTTCTCCTGTAAAAAATTGTCTTATTATTTCATAAGAAAAAAATCACTTTTTTTTTAATTCTTCGACACTGAGAGCAAGTTTGTGAGCAGGGGTCTTGACAGTGAAAGAGTTAATAGGTCTGATTCAGTTATTATAACACTGTAAACCATGACCAATCATTCCGAGAAACAGAGTAAATCTTCTAATTTTGAGTGATTATGAATTCAAGGTAGAAGGTAAGTGTAATATAGGAGAGGCCTGGGCACATGACTAATGAACAGGAAAAATGTTTCGGTGCCAGAAATGTCTGCATACAGTGGAACCTTGACTTACAAGTTTAACCCGTTCCGTTACCTAGAGCGTAACTCAATTTGCTCGTATATCAAATCAATTTTCCTCATTTAAATTAATTGAAATGCCATTAATCCGTTCCAGTGGAATTCTTGCTCTCGGGAGGCAGGACAAAATACTTAAATATGATGCTAATATCAACTCTATGGCATATTTATCTATCACAATTCGTCTAATATGACATAATAAACAATATAATGAACATACACACATGATATGTGCTCTACAATGAATAAAATACGTCATTATGTGATGAGTGGCGGCGACCATTGCTGCTCCAGCACTGACCATATCTTCCCATTCTTCCCTTCTGAAAATGGAGTGTTTCTGAGGCTAACTGCAAAACATAATAGAGAATGTAAAGAAATAAACTGGTTTTATAAAGTCTACATACATATTTACAGTGGACCCTCCCTTTTTGTCATTAATCCGTTTCAGAGAGATCGGCAAAAACTGAAACCATTTTCCCCATGATAAATAATGTAAATCCAATTAATCTGTTTCAAACACCCAGAAGTATTAACAGAAAATTTTTTTTAGATTTACATGCAGAAAAGAATAACAAATAAATATAAAGCACTAATAAAGTGTATAAATGAACATTTAACATCACACTTACCTTTATTGAAGACTCTTGTTGGTGTACGGGAGACGGGGCAGAGGGGAGAGGGAGGTGAGTTTATTATTGGAGACAGGACAATATGCTTCAATATGACACTAATATCAACTCTGCAGCTTATTTATCTATCACAGTTCACCTAATATGACATGATAAACAATATTAATAGCATAGAAACATGACATATACTCTAGAATGAATAAAACATCATTATGTATGTCACGAGTGGTGTCATGTTGTTGGGCGTATAAGGGTCACTGAAAGCATAAGCCATATATAGTGGTGGTGAAGGTGGCAGCAGAGGCAGTGGTGTTGTCAGTAGCCCTATATAAATTCAAATACATTGGAGGAGCTAGGTTCATTCTCTCCTTTTTCTATCGATTAATCGCTTAACTTACTTGCTACACTGTTAATGCTACACTTTATCACTGGCTTTCGCTATAGCCTTTATCGACTTGTGCTGCTTTAGTATCATACATATCGTAGAATCACTGAATCAGTGAAGAAGGCACATTCTCCCCTCTCTCTTCCTCCTCCACTTTGGTACCTTGCTATGATTTCTTTCTTTAATTCTATCATGTTCCTCACTTTCTTTACCAAAGGACTGGCACTAGGAGCTTTCTTTGGGACCATGGTGGCTTATTTAGCAGTCACACATAATAAACAAGTGCCAAAAACAATGGATTATTGCGAAATGTTTTGTATGACCTCGTAGGATTTGTTCACTTACTGAGAAACAACACGACACTGCCTGAGAATGTGTGTGGGAGGTGGCTTTGTGTGCGCACTGGGCACTGGACAGGTTCCATACCATCGACTAAATTGGAGGAAATTGACGAAAATGGAGGCAATATTTTGACGAAAAAGTTAGCGAAAACTGAAATTGGTGATAACAGAGATAGACAAAAAGGGAGGATCCACTGTACTTGAGAGAAGAGATGGAGGGTGGAAGGGTGGAAAAGAGGCAGAGCCTCGTATGCTATCAGTGGCCCTCAACCCACAACCCACACACTTTCACCTCCTTGTGTTTATCTATGATTTCATGCTTTAATTCCATGGACATCATCTTTCTCATCTCAGCACTGTCCTTTGCACTTACTGTCTTAGGACCTATGGTTAGGAAAAAGGAATTTGGCAAAATAACTCTACAAAATGCAAGCAAAGCATGAGAGAAATGCTTCCACTTCTCAGCAGATGTTTTGGCATTCGCTGCGCCAACTAGTAGTGATGTTCTGAAGCTCCTCGTTATTATGTAGACCATCACTTAGCATGAGTTTATTTGGCATGATTTGAGTATAGCCCAATTGAAGAATTGCGACACAATTTTTTGTAACACGTATAATCAATTTGACACGATTTGTGGGAGGGGAAAAAATTTTGAGCGTGCAGTCGCCCGGTTGCCTGGTCGCCCGCAGTGGGTTATACCATTGAGTCAATGGGGGTAGGCCTACTGCCATCAGGAGAAGGGGTTACTAGCCCCTTGCTCCCAGCATTTTAGTCACCTCTTATGACACACATGGCTTATGGAGGAAGAATTCTGTTCCACTTCCCTATGGAGATAAGGGGAAATAAACGAGAACAAGAACTAGTAAGAAAATAGAAGAAAACCCAGAGGGATGTGTATGTACAGTAGGGCCCCACTTTACAGTGTTTCGCCTTACGGCATTCTGCTAATATGGCA